TTTTGCCTTCCTTTTAACTCCTCTCAGACTCTGCATCCTAATTACCCCTGCTGCAAAGCTGAGTGAGAACTCTGCTTTCTTATATTAAAAATGTTTTAAGGGCCGGGTGCGGTGGCTCATGCCTGTAATCCTAGCACTCTGGGAGAATGAGGCAGGCGGATTGTTTGAGCTCAGGAGTTCGAGACCAGCCTGAGCAAGAGCGAGACCCCGTCTCTACTAAAAATAGAAAGAAATTAATCGGACAACTAAAAATATATAGAAAAAATTAGCTGGGCATGGTGGCGCATGCCTGTAGTCCCAGCTACTCGAGAGTCTGAGGCAGGAGGATCGCTTGAGCCCAGGAGTTTGAGATTGCTGTGAGCTAGGCTGACGCCACGGCACTCACTCTAGCCAGGGCAACAAAGCGAGACTCAGTCTCAAAAAATAAAAATAAAAATAAAAAAAATTTTGGTGATTTCAGCCTTTCCAGCATCGCAGTTCAAGCCTTGAATACGGCGCCACCTGCTATTAAAGAGGACAACTTGAGGCTTTAGTGTCAGATGTGCTGGGCCAAGTTGCCAGTTCCATCTTCTCTTGTCCACATTATAGTCAAGGGAATATTCAATTAACTGCAGTCAAAGTAATCAGGACCTCCATTAATCAGGCCACTGTTATGGAGAAAGAGGAAAGGGATAAGGTATCAGAGATTTAGTGAGAGAAGAGGGAAGAAACTTCCAGGGGCTGTCCTGGGGTCAGTGTGCATTCAGTCCAATGTCCTGTCCTTTCTACCTCTACATATTTAGCTCTTAACAATGAGGACTGATGTCCATAATGATGACCTTGACATCTTGTAAGATTCATCAAAGCAAGAATGCATGGTGGTCACCAGACAGGATTTCCTAGAGCAGGAACTATACAAATACATTTTTGAAGCTTTCTTAACTACAGGGATTGAGACAAAATGTTTGCTGCTTAAATATCAGTTAGCGAGGAAAGCACATTAACTAGGTCCCATGTCCCCACTTCCCCTAACTCTTCAGGACACTGACTGGGTAAAAGATACAGAAGAAATAAGGATTCTAAAAGTCACCAGTGACATTTCTTTTTAATTCTTGACTTTCTCTTTGGCCTCTGGTGATGGAAAACTATTGGGTCATCTCTTACTTTTCCCCCTCTTGGCAGAATCCTCTTCATCTCCCCCTTGCTTACTTGTGGGCATTTCCTATATTCAGTCTTTAGCTCTTCTCTCCCTGTGCTATCTCTTGGAGAACACATCGGATTTCATACCTCTCACTCCTAAATTTATATCTCAGTCGTGAATTCTCCCTGAGCCTACAATCCCATATTCCTAACTACTTACTGGATTTCTTCCCCTGGCTATCTCACCATCAAATCAAAACTATCTGATTTTCCTTAATATATAAAATGCTTTTAGAGGAGCAAGAGAAACACGCATTTTTTTAAAAAATAGGCAAAGACATAAACAGGTAACTCACATATACATTCGTAATATACATACACAGTTGAACAATGAAAAACTGTTCTCCCTCACTAATATTATACAATGCAAATTAAATGCCATGACTTTATTCTTCAGTGATTCAAAATAGTTAAAAAGCCTATGAAACTCAGCGTTTATGGGTAAAGAGACATTCTCACATATCGGTGGTGGAAACGTAAATTTGTACTATTCCCTGTTGAACGATGTGTCATTTTGTACCAAGGTCTTTAAAACATGTATACTACCTTTTCATCCAGCAGGCTTTATTTCGAAGAATTTAACTTAAGGAAATAATCGAGATACACCCAAACCTATGAGAACAAGAAGTATTGATTATAACGTTGAAAACTTGGAAACATGCTAAATGTCTAGCAGTGGAAAATTGGTTAAGAAAATATGGCAAATTCCTGCAATGGAATGCTACATAGCAAATAAAAATAATGTTTTAGAAGTATGCTTAATTATTTGAGAAAACACCCAAACTATATTAACTGTCAGGTTATTAAGTCTGGTTATGAAAAGAAATATACAGGATTATCTCTATTTGTAAAAAAAAAAAAGTATACAGACTGGTGAGGAATACATATGAACGCTAACAATGATGATCTTTGGAGAGTGATGTTATGGATGATTTTTATTTTCTCCTTTATAATTTTCTGTATGTTCTAAAATTTCTACAGGAACATCGATATTTGTAAAAAAAAAAAAGTATACAGACTGGTGAGGAATACATATGAACGCTAACAATGATCATCTTTGGAGAGTGATGTTATGGATGATTTTTATTTTCTCCTTTATAATTTTCTGTATGTTCTAAAATTTCTACAGGAACATCGATTACTTTTATAAAATTAAAAACCTCATAAGTGTAATTTCTTTAGTAACAGATTATTTAAAACCAGACTTCTGGACTTCCGAACTAAATAAGCTCCCTTTCCTTCCTAGCTTCCCTCTGTCCATTCACAGTGCTGTCAGTCCAAGCCCCCAGGCTTGGCTCCTTGAGGTCGACTTTGCTCCCTCCCCCCTCTTCCCCATCACTCATTGAGTTTCATCCCTTCTTTTGGACATCTCTCATATTAGTTCTCTCATTTTAGGTCCCAAGTCAGGTCAGTTCACTTCAACCAGCATTTATTGTCACAGTGTCTGGATGTCACTCTGCCGGCTCGACATTATTAGAGCCATCTCCTCATCTGTCTCCCTGCCCCTGGTCTTTCTGGCCTCCAATCAAACAAGCACCCTGAGGCTGGAATGATCTTTTAAAAACACTACCTGTATCATGGCCCTTTGTGCTCGAAACACTCAAAATCCCCCCCGAACCCCACCGCCTAGGGAATGAAGCCCATGCTCTTTTCTTCTGCCGTTTAGGGCTCTTTGCATCACTGTGCTAGGTGGGACATAATGGTGGGCACATGAGAGGTTTTTGTTAAGTTTTGGCAATGAAGTAAATCTTCAGGGATAAGGTACGGAGCTCTCCCCACTGCCCTCCACCTCTTCAGTTTGAAAATTCCTTTCCCCTCTTTTTGGCTTTGGAGCACTTGCAGTTTCATGGTGCTGAATTTGGAGACCGGAAGAGGCAGTCAGGGGTGATAAAATATGGCCCAGGAAACCTCTGAGGCTGTCCCAATTTCCCGTGCCTGTTGCAGAGAAGGTTCCACCAAGAAAGCATTTTGGCTGTTAAGTCCCTGCCTTTCCTGCAGTGTTGAGGACCAAGAACCAACAGTGGGAAACCTTACCGCTTACTTAGTTTGCTTTCATAAAAAGAAGATGGGGAAAGGGGAAGGGGAAGCAGAAAGGGGTGAATGGAGAACAAAGCTCTGAGTGATGTGAGCCCCTCGTGACACTCAGCTGTCTTCGGGGGGCCCTCTGGGGCACAGAAGACACCAACTCTGACTGAATGATGGCATATGGTCGTCTGTGAAGAATGCTCCGCTGGGAGTGTGTGGGGTGAGATGTGTGAGGGTAATGAACTTGCCAGATGGCAGTCACTGGCACTAGCCCTGTCGCTTGCTTTTGGAGCATCCGATGACACCGATGGGAGTGGGATCCCAAGCTGTGTAACGGGGATAGCTGGCAACCAGTCCTGACCAGCCTGGCTGCCTCGAGGCTCCTTCTGCATCACAGCCCATCCCTTTCGCGGTGAAGACGTGCCCTTATTATGGACCTAGTCTAAAAGCGGGGCCAGTCCAACAGAAGAGCTGCCTACTAGTGGCGCCTGGGATGCTGGCGCCCCCGCAGTCCTCCTGGCACGGACCATGCCCTTCTTGGATTGCTCTTGGCACCTTTCTGGTTATGGAAAGCTTGGTGCAGCCCCACCCAACAGAAACTCTGACTCCTTACATAGCCCACCCATCCTTCTTGTCTAGCTCGGCTGTCTCCAGCTTCCCTTCCTCTCTCTTCTCCCCTCCCTTCCCCCGTGGCCGTTGGCAGTTGGCACATTCCTTGAGTACATGCAGGCCCCTTTTGTCCTTCCCCCTGGCTCCTTGGAAGTCTGCCCCGGTTTGAGGCTCTCCCTGTTTTGTAAAACCATTAACCATAAGAAGCTTTGGGCCTTGCAGGGGAAGCAAAGGCCCTCTGCTTTCCAGGGCTAAAAGTGGCTTGTCTGACCCCTGTGGAGTAAAGGGAATTAGAGTAAGCATGGAGGCAGCCCCCTTTAGCTGTAGGAAGCCACGAGTGTTCCATGGCATTACTGTCAGGTTGGGGGGCCTAAGGATAACCTCATAGTGCAATAACAACAGCAGCTACTGTTGATCGAATGCTTACCACGTGCCAGGCACTATGCTAGGTGCTTGGGGAACATTATCCTATATGTTCCTCACACTAACTACTCCTAGTTTCCAATTTTACAGAGGGGGAGACTCTTGAGAAGTTAAGTAACTTGTCCAAGATCACACAGCCAGAAGGTGACAGAGATGGGGCTCTAATGCAGACCTGCCTGATTTCAAAGCCTGTGCTTTTAACTTCCCCACCGTGCTGCCTTTGTAGATCCCCAAAATGGCCTAGAGAGAGGATTAATTACTTTTTAAAGTCTTTTTTTTAATATTTGCTGAACACTTGTGCATGTATTAAGCTTGTTACATGTGTTAGTACATTTGACCAGTCACCTCAGGTATGCCATATTATCTCATAGACCAGACATGGAAGGAGGCAGTCTCAGAGAGGTTACCCAGCTTGTAAGTGATTGAGGTGAGATTTAACCCAAGTCTCTGAACCTCCAGTGCCAGCGTTCACCTCCCTGACCCTGCCGTCCTGCCCCTGAGAAGCCCCCTTTGTAATTTGCTCTGTCTGGCAGTGTGGTGACATTCATTACTGAGCCTAGAGGATGCCTATACCCCCAAATCCATGATTTCTGAGCTGATGGGCCATTTTGTTTTGGAGCAGAGAGTAGCTGAGGGAAGAGATGACACAGTGGGCCTGGGCGGGTGTTACTTCCTAACATGGAGAGCATTTGGATCAAGAAGTGAGACCCAGATTGCTTTTAAGCACATTTTCATTTTCTCCCCTCCCTCCCCTTCCAAATTAGGGTGAAGGTTGCCGAACTCTCCCCCTGGCTGGACATGTGGGGTTTGACAGCTTGCCTGACCAGCTGGTGAATAAGTCAGTCGGCCAGGGCTTCTGCTTCAACATCCTGTGCGTGGGTGAGTATTTCCATACCAGGAAATTCTATTACAGAATATGGATCCTTAATGGCTGGATGTGGCTTTGCTGGTAATTAGGTTAAATAGTGTGCCATTCTGATCTAGTTGCAAGAGTGTTTTCCCCCTCTTCTTCTTTTATCCTTCTATTTGCTTTTGTGAACAGCGGGCTGTAATTACACTTTTCCTTGGTCAGACCAGAATATGGGGCTATATCTTGGGGGGAACTGAGCTATGTGAGACCCACTGGAAATTTTGTAAGGGAACCGACTAGCTCAGTTACTGTCATCAAGTTCATTTTGACTACAGAAGAGAGGAGCTAGGGAAGAGTTGGAAGGGAGGTGATGGCTGAGGAAAGATGCCTGCCCACCAGCTGTGGGCAGTAGGTTGGGTCTGTGTTTCCTCTGCAGCTTTGCTGTGCTTGGTACAGTTTGAGCTCAAGTGCAGGCACCACACAAGCTGCGTGCAAGGTTCTTTTATTCCCTTTACCTGTATCTCTGTCTAGACCTTTAATCTCAGTGGTGGAGCCACGTCTTAGCCCCCCTAAGTGCTAATCACAGCTCAAAGAGAGTTCAGTAATGTTTGTGAAATGAATGAATGAGTGAACCCCACAGGAACCACTCATTATACTTCTCAAATACTTTCTATCATTAGCTCTTTTGGTCCTTTCTAAGACTCTGGAAAGCATTTGTATCCTCATGGAACAGGTAGAGACCCAGAAACTTGGGGAGGTTAAGGATTTACCTAAGGCAACACAGAAAAAGTGGTAGAGCCATAACGAAGACCTAGACCTGGTTGACCCCTTGTCTCTCCCACTGCTTCTCTAACTGCTGCCAGCAACATCTCTGGAGGACACAGAAGCACTCTAGAAACCACTGCACACAAATCAAACTAATATGAGAGACAACAGTTCCTTGATATTCTTTAAGAATCTCTCCTCAGAGCCAAGTGTGGTGGTACGTGTAGCTACTTGGGAGACTGAGGCAGGAGGATCGCTTGAGCCCAGGAGTTCAAGGTCAGCTTGGGCAACATAGCAAGGCCCTGTCTCTGAAAATAAAAAAATAAAAGAATCTCTCCTTAGACCTTAAAAATCCCAAATTTGCAAACACAATCATAACATATAATTTTCACCTACAGTGCAGGAAAGCATATTTTCAACAACCTCCTTCTGAACCTTAATGATTATATAAATACCAGAATAAAGTCAGTTTTCACATTGGCTGGAACACTCAAACACAAACACTTCTGCTAAATTGCCTTTTCTTATTTTTGTATAGAATGTATGAGGACCTCATTCACATTGTAGATCCGAACCACCTCTAAAGTTGATATTTTACTCTTTAATGTATTCAAAAAGTGTGTTTTCTCGCTAAGGGCATTCATTTTCTGGGGCTCTTTTTTTTTCTCCTCCTCCAACCCCAGCACTTTTTTCCAGGTCGTTTTCTGTAGGAAAATCACTGCTTGCTCAAGCACAAGTAGAGAACAATGGATGACAGGCAGTCAGCGAGTCTCTTTCACCAGCTAAATGACTCACTCCCATGCATTAGCTTTGGAACCTATGAGATGAAAATATGTGCTTCACAGAGTTATACATCAGGGGCCTTAGAGTCCAGATCTAGGCTGTTAATTCTTCAAATGCTGAAAGTCTAACTTATAGTTATGATTAGGTGCTATTAAGAGAGGAATACAAAAATGAATAGAAATCATAGTGACTGACATTAAGAGCAAATGCCATCACATCCAATATTACCACCGCCAAATCTCTGTTGAACTAACAAGATCGCCAGTCTTTGGCTGATGGCCAACTTACTTCATGTAATATTTGATTACTGCAATATTTCAGCACAAACATATCAGATTCCCTTGGCATTCCTCCCAGAGCTCCATATGACCTGAACTGAATTGGAGGAGATGAGAAGAGAAATGACAGACTCACTCTCAGTGACCTTTCAACCACGTGCAATCGACTGGGCTAGTAAAGTTTTAGGAGGGAGGCCGTGGAAATCAAAATGGCTCTCTGAGGGCGGAAGTGTAGGGTAATTCGACACGTGGATCACAAGCTCCCCTGGGGCCTGGTAGAAGAGGCAGCCAAGTTCAAGTCAAAGTGAGTGAGACAAATAGTAAACCCCCATCCTCTAGTTCTCACCCAGACATTGTACAGCTACAACTGCACCTGCTGGGATGGAATTGTTTAAGTGCCTGGGACAGATTCTCTAAGAGGGGAGAAGTAGGAAGGAGATGCTCTCACCCCCCAGGAATCACACTCTCTCTCCTCCCACTTGTCAAGTTTCAGGAAATGGCTGCCTCAGTAGCTCCCCTCTTAGACCTGCAGGTGCAACCATTGGATAGACCATCCTAGACTGGGTTAATTTCATTCCCCATTCCTGATTCAAAAAATCCTACAGCTCATACATCCTGACCTCTTGCTTTGCTCACAACCCTGTCAGCGTGCAGAGAAACCACAATTTGGGCCAAGGTCACGAGCGGCTTAGAGTGGCTCTGAGGCTGCAATGTTAGCCCAGCCATGGGGCTGGGTCCAGTCACTGACTTGGTGAAGGATCCATAGGTTCGCTGCTGAAGGTGATCTTTTCTCTTGCAGGGCTTTTTCCATGGCCATACTTTCATGTCTACTGCCTGTGCATAACTGTCAAGTTGACTGCCTTAATGACTGTTATAAAAAGATTCTGTTTGGTCATAGAATATAGTCCCCCAATTTATTTTCTTTTCTGAGAGGGCATTTTTGCTGTGAAATTATGGTAGCACTGGCTTCGATTATTAACCAGGACCTAGAATATTTTCACATTATTATTGTTTGTTTGTTTGTTTTTTTTTTTTTAGAGACAGGGTCTCTGTCACCCAGGCTGGAGTGCAGTGGCGTGATCATAGCTCACTGCAGCTTCGAACACCTGGATTCAAGTGATCCTCCCGCCTCAGCCTCTTGAGTAGCTGGGACTACAAGAACACGCTCGGCTAATTTTAAAATTTTTTTTTTGTAGAGGCAGAGTCTTGCTGTGTTGCCCAGGCTATTCTCAAACTCCTGGGCTCAATCCTCTCGCCTCGGCCTCCCAAAGTGCTGGGATGTAGCTATGAGCTAGCAACAGTAATGGCTGTGAGGAGCACAAAGGGTCATAATCATAATATTTACTTTGAAGCTGCTCAGGATTCCAGGCTCAATTGGGCTCTGTTGAACTTGGAAAAAAACACACCAGAGAGGCAGGATTGAGGTAAGCCTACAGGAGGAGGGGAAAGGGCAGTTAGCATTCTATTAAGGTCAGGGGCCAATTGTTTCATCCCTGTGTCTCTGGGAAAGGCAGCTGTTCACCTGTCTAAGAAAAGGTTGCCAACAGTGGTGTGCTGATCAACATCTAACAACCCATCTCAGGAAAAAGATTGCCATGGTTTGTAGCATGTACTGATTTCCGTGGTGTCATTGCTCCTACCATAGCTGATTTTAAGCTACCAACGTGATGTCACTGCACGTGGGCTTGGGAAGAGATGCAGGAAGCGGACAAGCCAGCTCCAGAACACCACTGTCTGCCAGGTCTCTACAAGATCAGGAAGGAGAAAGTGCAAGGTCACAGAGCCAGGCACGACCTTGTCCCTTTGCATAGGTTCTCGTAGCCAACTGGAGTTTCTGGAGTGTTTCCTTTTGGACACCTCCCTGTTGAACTCAGAGACATTTCTCTTGGTTTATTTCAACATCCAGAGCTGACAGAGACTTTACCTCCATGAGAACAGGGATTGTGGCTATCTTGTTCATTGCTATATCCTCAGCTCCTATAACTGTGCTTGGTTCCTATTATAGGCTTTAGAAATACTTGTTGAGTGACTGAATAAACGTATTATACCTATGGGCCTTGCTAGAGCACTTTGGCCTGCCTGGATTCAAATGCTGGCTCTGCCACTTATTAGTTTGTGATCTTGGACCGGTTACTTCCTCCACATTTCGTAGATGAGGAAAGTAAGGTGCAGAGAGGCTGAGGAACTGGTGCAAATTCACACGACTAGTAAGTGGCTTGGTTAACCCATCTGCAAATTGAGGACAAAAAGTAGTATCTCTCTCATAGGCTTGTTGTAAGGAACACATAAGAACATATATGTAAAGAATTTACAGCAATGTCTGGCACATAGTAAGTGCTCCATAAAAAATAGCTCTTATTATTATTACTTCAATCCTCATTTTAGGGAAAAAGAGACTGGGACCCAGAGAGGGAAAAGGGCTCAGCTCAGGTCAAACAGTAATTTAGTGATAACTTGACTGGGAGTCTTCATTTCATAACTTACAAGGATTTAATTGCACAAGATGACAGAGGATGCAAATAGTAACAGTGACTAAGGAAAAGGGCTAAGCTTTGCTTTTTAAATTTTCTTTAGAGACAGGGTCTCACTCTGTTGCCCAGGCTGGAGTATAGTAGCACAATCATAGCTTACTATAGCTTTGAACTCCTGGGCTCAAGCAATCCTCTTGCCTCAGCTTTCCAAGTAGCTAGGACAACAGGCGTGCACCACCACACCCAGCTAAGCTTTTCTTTATTACACAGGTTTGTAATGCAAGGAGGTCGACATCGGACTATCCTAGGGAGTATAGTTTGAAAAAGCGTATTTCATATTATATGCTTTAAATTTAAAATTATTTTTAAAAAACTTGTTTCCAGAACATTATCTATATTAAGCAAAGCGGAATGAAATCCTCTTGGCTGGTGGAGCACGCGTTAAAAGGGCTCAGAAACCCTACTGTCCACTATGGGCAGCTCTGGGAGGGCTGGGGAGGAGGAGAGAGAAATTGACCCCTTGGGACTCCTCAGGTTTCCTGCTGGAATCTAATTGCCAAGTCCCCACCTTCCTGCAGGGGTGTGGAATCTGCTGACCTGATCCCAGTTAGGCCACGTGTATCTCCCCGCCTAATTCAATACTGAGCCCAGGGCAGCTGTGGGGAGGGGACAGCATCCTAGGCTCAGGCTGGGTCTGTGCCAGCCATTGAGAGAAAGCTTCCCCCACCCCCAGGCTGTGCGCTGATGGAAAACTGGAACTGGAACAGGAGCACTCCATAGCTAGAGGACCCGCTTGCTTGCTTTTCTGCCCTCTTCTAATGCTGCATTTATCACAATTCCCTAGACACCTGCAAGTTCTTTTCTTCCAGACATTCATTATTTGGCATCTAATTTCCACAGCCCTTTTGTGCTGGCAGGCATTTAGGTGGTCATTTTTCCTGCTGTTTCTCCCTGCTGCCTGCCCTGCCCTGCCCTGCCCTGCCCAGCCTGGCCCCCATTTCTCCAGCTGTGCAAACTGGGTGTGTCCCTCACTCTGCAGAGCCGCTCCTGAGGCATTCTGTGGGAACCTCGGGCTAGGCACCCTTGGGAGTACAGGAAGATGCCCAGCCCCTTCTCTCTGAGAATTCTTAGGATCAGGGAGCTGGGGAGCCCACTCTGGGTGCTGGGGAGACAGGGGCCACCACTCTCTAGGAGCTGCGGGGCATTCAGCAGGGAGCTCACAGAACAGAAGAGGGGCGGGGGGTGGGGATGTACATGGAAAATTCATTAGGCACATACAAAGATAGGTTAAAATGTATCTCTGACATCCATGCCCAGAGGAGGAGGTGAGTTGGGGCGAGGGAGCCACCTTGTGTTCCCACCTCAGAGGTGCTGGCCCCGTTTGCAGTTGAGCTGCACCCCACCTTGGGCCGGGTGGAGGGGGCTTATACATTCTGTTGCTCAGCCAAGTGTGTCACCTCCTGCAGGCAAAGGCTTCACCTCATCACATTTTTCTCGAGACCCAAATACTTCCTGTTCCTTTAGGGGAGGAAAAAGGGGGCCTCTTCTTGGAAAGTCTTTGCTGCTAATGGGTATAGCAGACCCTGGCTGGAAACATGATCTATGCGAGGAACCATTTCCTCCGCACCCTGACAATGTGTGGAGTTAGTCAGACCTGGCTATGAAATTGAGCTGGAGGGCCGGGTAGCCAGGCTGAATTGAATGTTCTCCTTGTTCTCTCTCTCTCTCTCTCTCTCTCTCTCTCTCTCTCTCTCTCTCTCTTTCTCAACCCCCTCCTCCTCCCTCTCTCCCTTGCCCCCTTCCTCCCTTCCTCCCTCTCCCCCTCCCTCTCCAGGCACACAGAGAGCTCTCAAACATAGACAGATATTTTAAAGTACCTCCTGCATTCATAGCTCATTACTCTGGATAAAAGAGATGTGGAAGATGCAAAGCTGGACACACCCAGAGGGTGGAGGGGAGATGGAACATTTTCGGTTTCGCATCATGCAGCTCTAACCCTAGCCTTGGACCACAGATGTGTGCTGTTGGTCCCCAGGGGGGATTTGCCAGGGCAGGATTTGTCCCATGCAAACCCACTCCCGACTGTGAAGAGAAGTCAAAGCTCACATCCCCTGGGTTGGAGGGGGGAAAGAAGAGGTATGACGATAGCAGAATAGCAGGGTAATCTATGAATATGTATTTAAAGGGCAGTCCAGAGTGATTAACTACTGACTTTTTTATTCCTGGTATTCCTGAGTCACTTGGGATAGGCTGGGGGCGGGGTGGCGAATACAGTCTGGATTTGTGGAGATTATAAACGGTTTTAGTGCGCAGCCCAGCTTGTAACCTCATATCAGATTCCCGCCTAACTCCCATGTCACCAACTTCCCTTCAACTCATGACTTCTTGTGTTGTCCCATTCCCTGAAGACTCCTTGGCTCCCAGCAGTGGCTTGATACCCCTTGGTCTCCCAGGAGTAAGCTCCCAAAACCTTCACCAGTCTGCCACAGCCCTTCCCCCATTCATCTCCCTAGTGTGAAATTCAAGACTTTTGAAATTCCAATGGTTTAATTTATTAGTATCCCCGTAGCCTGGTAGTTAAACAAACAAATGGCTGGTTTGTTTGAAATTTAAGGAGAAGAATAATTTGTAGCCTGCTAGGTTCCCTCCCTGCTAGCTAAAAATGGTCTCGTTGAAAGCTCGGCCAGGCTGGGAGGAAAAGCCAAGGGCCCACACAGTCTTGCACAGCCTCGCCTCTGGGACACACATCCACAGCATCCACACGGGGCTGCCTGGGCCCAGCAGGGAGGAGAGGTGGGGACTGGGACAAGAAGATACTTATTTGACAAGGGACCACTGTCCCTTTAAAAATTTTTTTCTAGCTCGGGCAAGAGCAAGAACGCATCTGTACAAAAAATAGAAAAATTAGCCAGGTGTGGTGGCTCACGCCTGTAGCCCCAGCTACTCAGGAGGCTGAGGAAGGAGGATCGCTTGAGCCCAGGAGTGTGAGGTTGCAGTGAGCTATGATGATGCGACTGCACTCTAGCCTGGACAATAGCATGAGACCCTGTCTCCAAAAAACAAACAAACAAACAACAAAAAACAAGTAAGAGAAAAAAGTGGAAGAACAAAATGAAAACCATCCCAATTCCACTGAGATGACTACTGCTGATCTGTTGATGCAGCTCCTTTCCGTCTTTGCCATTTAACTGAGATCATGCAGTCTGTATACTTCTATATGCTTTTTGCTTCATATTTTATCACGTACATTTTCCCATGTCAATAAATGTACGTCTGAAGCATGATGTGTAAGCGCTGCATTGTCACCGTGTGAATGGGCCATAATTTATCCTTTTGCTCTTCAGGAGAGACTGGTTTGGGCAAGTCCACCCTCATGGACACCCTGTTCAATACAAAGTTTGAAGGGGAGCCAGCCACCCACACGCAGCCAGGTGTACAGCTTCGGTCCAATACCTATGACCTCCAAGAGAGCAATGTGGGGCTAAAGCTCACGATCGTTAGCACGGTGGGCTTTGGGGACCAGATCAACAAGGAGGACAGGTAAGAAAGGTGGTGGGGTGGGGAGGTTGGTGGGGCTCCACAGGGAGAAACTCAGCAAGGGGATCTTGAAGAGAGAACAGATGCTGAACCCCAGCCTGTCCTCCCAGCATGACATGAGCGGCACTGCCCCTGCCTAGGGTCCCTGTCTACAGCAACTGTTCTGCTCCACACACTTGGGGAAAAAGAAGGGTGTCTTTCTAATATATGTGGGTGGGGTCTCAGTTCCATTCAGCAGACATTTTTTGAGCTCCTGCCTTGTGCCAGGTACTGCTGAGCTCTGACAATCTAGAAAGGACTAGGAATGCCCTTGAGGCATTCATGGGTGAGACCGGTTTTAAGCAAATAATTTCCACAGAGTTAATACCTTCTGTAAAGGACAGGGTACAAAGAGGTAAAGGACAAGTTACAATGAGAACACAAAGGTGAAAACAGTCAGTTCCATGCAGAGAGGTCTCAGGGAAGCCTTCACAGAGGACGCACACCCTGAGCTGACTCTTGAAGGATGAATTATTTTGCCAGACTGACAAGGGAAGGGAGAGAAGGGCATTCCAGGCAAAGGTAACTGCTTATAAAAAGGCAAAGTGATGTGGTATGTTCTAGGGAACTGGAGCTTGCTCCGTTTGGCTAGACAGAGTCACTGTGAGGCTAATGAAGCTTCAGGTTCAGGGCTCTCACTTGCACAGGCCCCTTCCAAGGCCCTGTAATGAATTTTTTAGCCATAACGTTGTATTATTTGTCTTGGAGGGTTCTTCCCATTGTATAAGTGTAAGGCCCGGAGAAACCTGGATCTGCCCATGGGCTAGCATTGGAGAGAGCCGGGGGGGAAAGTGTGGGGAAATGACCCTGAACAGGTAAGCAGGAGCCAGATCATGGAGGGATTCATAGAATGTGCAAATATGGGAAGCACTGGAAGGTTTTAAGAAGTAGAATGATGTTGTCTGATTGGCCTTTGAGGAAGGCACTTTGGCGTATTCTGGAGACAGAAGACAGACGAGCAAGAAGACCAGTTAGGAAGCTATTGGACCAATTAGATTGAGGCGAGAGGTAAAATAGGTGCTGAGATAGGGAAGAGGAGACAAATTTGATAAATATTGAGTAGGTAAAAATCAACAGGACTTGGTAGAGACTTGGTGTGGGGTTGTGAAGGCAAAAGAAGAATCTAGAATGTGAGGCCCACATTTCTGGCTTTGGAGAGTGGACACTTGGTGGTGGCATTCCGCAAGAGAGGTAATATAAGAGAGCCGACTTTTAAAATAATCAACTCTGTTTTGGACACGTTGAATCTGACCTGTCTGTGGAATATTGAGATACACGATGACCTTCAGCAGCAGGCAGTTGAACATACCGAGCTGGAGACCAGAAGAGGGACTAGGCTGGAAATACAGATTTGAGTTATCAAGGTAGAGGGGATATGTTCCTACTGTGAACACACGTAAGGTCACCCAGGGATCAGAGTAGAGTGAGAAGAATGTTGGGCTAAAGACAAAAACGTCAGGATGTCAAGTCAGCAGATGGAGGAAAAGACATCCTGGAAACGAACTGAATGGGAATAAGCCGAGAGGTAGGAGAGGACCAGGAGAGACTGTGGGGTCTGAGAATGTGTGTGAGTAAGGGGTAGAGTGAGGCTCAGAGATGAAGATGTGATGAGGGCTGGGGTCGGGAGCGGGTGGGGGTCAGGCACCATCTGCATTTAACCAGAAATCGCATGGTTATTACACATGCTCATCTCAGAAAGGGCCATTCATCATTTTGAGCAAAGTGTCTGGTCATCCTTTGAGGATTCTCTTGCTTCTTAGATGAACTGTATGTCAAATTCTTTCATTTTTCCCATAAAGCTACAACAGCCATACTCATTTCCTTATAATGGATAAATATATGTAGCTTCTTAATAATTGAACTGAATTCTGTTTTCCATCTGAAATTCTAGAAGGACACCTCTGCTTTTTATAGGCTTACTTATTGTGCTAATCTTTTTTGGTTGAGAATAAATTAGACCCTGGGGAATGGGGATATTTGGGCCACAATATGAGTGCTTAATCTCAGATGCAGGTTGCTCAGGAACTCCTCAATTCAGTTTCTCACAGTTCTTTCAGTTACATACATTCAACATATCTGACATTGGACAACACCTTGACAATGATGGCTTGGGAGGACTGAACTGATACTGCCCCTTAGAGGTGAATCTACTTCTGTTATACTTTTAAAATATTCTTTGTTTTTTTCCTGATTATAAATATGATACATAGTCATAAAAAAATCGAATAAGTAGAAATGACAAGCTTCCCTGAAATTGGGCTGGGGAGTGGAGGTGTGGAGTAAGCCCCAGGGATCTGTAATAACAAGCAGTGTTTTCTACATGGTGTCAGGGCCATTTCGGCATAAATATGTCAGTGCAGCTGTATTGAAACAAGGCATCAGAATGCCCTGCTTTACCAGGGCTTGTGAATACACTGGGGAGAGCAGCGAATAAGGCCTGATCTGCAGAAAATTACCATTTAAAGGGTGCTCGAGAAAAAGGAACCCAAGGGGGAGACTAAGAAGGACAGGGTGGAGAGGGAAGCGCTTAGGAATTTAGGCTTTGGTCTCAGACAGACCTGGTTCAAATCCCATCATGCCATTTTTTAGCCTAGGGGTCTTGGAGAAGAAACCTAAATTCTCTGTTAGGGTGGAAAGCTTAGTAGGTGCTCACAGTGCTGGCAGAGAAAGATTTCTCATGCAGAAATTAAGATATATAAAAGTAAAAACATTTATCCTCTTAGAGGAGAGAAAGAGAGTGTGAGAGTGAAAGAGAGGGGTAAAGTGACCAGGGAGACACGGCATCCCAAAGAAAGAGAAGGGGATGCCAGCAGTGAGGCCAAGTGGCTTGCTGATTTTATGGGGACAAAGAGAAAGAGAAAAAAATAATAATGATTGTTGAAGGTTGAAACAGAAGCAGCTGTAGAGTAATTAGCAGGCAGCTGCTGGATGTCAGGTTGTCCTGGCTTTCTTGCTTTTTCTCTGTACCTGGAGACTTGGCTATCTCTGAAATGTAGTCAGGCTTATCACAGGGGATGTGATTTTGGCCCTGCAATATGGTTTTGGGCAGGAAACTGAGGCCAGGAATTTGCTCCCCTGCTGTCCCCTGCTGTCCATTCTGGGGCTTCTCAGTAACACCTTGAGGCTATAAAACAAATTCTAAAGGCAGTTGCTGGTGAATGTAAAGAGAAAGATTTACATTTCCTTTTTATCTCTTGGGATCCTTTCAGATGTTTGTGAAAACAGAGTCCCTGCAGGTCGCCTGCCAGCTAGGGAGAGAAAGTGCAGAGAGTAGGCACAGCTCAAGATTGATCTTTAGATGTTATTAGGAAATTGCTGGATTAGACATTTTCCCTTTACCCGTGGTTTCAGCAAGTCTGCGCCTTTAATTCTCTATGTCTCAGTTTTCTCACCTGTAAAGTGAGGATGATGATGATAATCATACCTACCTTAGTGGGCTGTGGTGAAGCACATTTGACGTGTATGTCATGTGAGATGCTTAAACAATGCCTGGCACAGAGTGACTACCTAATAATAAACTGAAGATATTATTATGATCATAATTTTTATTAATAGAAAAATGGAGGGAGAGTTGTATCATGTAGCATATGAGAGGGAATGACAAATGGTGTCTAGGAAGAGAAGAACCATAGGGTTTGGCGACATGAATGCTGTTAATACATTTAGGAATAATTATTTTAGGGGAATTGTAGGTAGACACTAGAGTGCCATGATTGCTGAGAACAGGTGGTAAGGATATAAAGGCTTCAGAATAGTAAAAAGAGCAACAGGACAGAAAGGCGAATTCAAGAGTAGATCATGTTCTTATGGAAATTTAGCATCTGTAAGTCAGAGAAAGAATGGACAATTCAAGAAATGATGCTGGGGAAAGAGGCGATCCATCTAGGAAGAAAATAAAATGAGACCTCCCACATAAACACCATTCACAAAAATAGATTCCCATTGGACTAAAAACGAATTCTAAAAATATAAGGAGAAAATATCAGAGAATATTTTTTATAACTTCGCAAGTAGAGAAGGCTTTTCTAATCATGACACAGAATTCAAAAGCCATAGAAGAAAAGACGAACAGATTTAAGTTCACTAAAATAAAAAACCTTAGTATATTGAAAGAGACCATAAATAAATGTAAAAGCAAGCTACAGATGGGGAGAAGATATTTGAAACCTATATCACAGACAAAGGATCCTTCTAAAATGTAAAAGGAGCCTCTGCAATTCAATGAGAAATAAACGATAATTGACAAAAGGGGAAATACAAATGGCCGATCAACATATGAAATGATGCTCATTCAACTTCCCCAGTAATTAGGGAAGTGTAAAATGAAACAATGAAATATTTTTTATCCATCAGATTTGCAAAAAATAAAAGATGATATATCCACTAACACGAGGTAATTTCATTCATGCTTGTGGGAATGTAAATTGATACAGATTTTTTGGAGAGCAAATTTGGCAGTATCTATTAAAATTTAAAATGTGAATAATTTATGTATGACCCAGCAGTTGCACTTTTAAGTATACAGCCTAGAGAAACAATTACACATGTTCATGAGAAGCATACAAAATGGATGTTCACTGCAGCATTGGTTATCAAATAAAAAAGATTCGAACAGTCTAAATTTCCATCAATAGAGCAATTAAATAAATCATGGTACAACCGTACCATGGAATTGTGTTTGGCAGTTTAAAAGAATGAGGTAGATCAATATGTATTCACATGGATACATCTCCAGGACATGTTATTAAGTGAAAAAAAGTTGCAGAGTGATACACTGATCATGATGCCATTTGTGTAAATCTTCCCCCTTTGCCCCAATAAAACAACAAACATTTCTCTTTATTTATGTATGTAATGCAGAGAAAGGTATGGAAAGATAATCAGCAACTTGAAAGTAGCAGTTACCTCTGAGGAGGGGAGACTATGTATTGCTTACATATCTAAAAATAAATAAAAAAGAATGG